TCGACTTACACCCATCCGACAATGTACAAGTACCCCACCACCTACTGATTTACTGGAGATCGACATAACTTCTTCATCATCATAACTTCTTATGTTCCCTGTAGCTGCTTTCCTTGAACTCCGTAAAGCACGTTCACGACGGTGTAATTGTCGATGAATTATTCGCGTAATTGGACCAAAGTAACGTGTAATGTTCTCATCACTGTGATCTTTTAATGGAAACTTAATAAATTTGATGTCATAGTCGTTGTATATCATCGTTTCCATCATCACGCATTCTTCAGCAACATTAATCACAAGTGAAATACCATGGGCAGCGAGGGCATCAATCTTTAAGGCATCACTGTAAGAACCCAGAAATAACCCCGGTAGAACCATCGCTGCATCAAGGGAATATGAACTGCACGCACCATGAGAAAGTGGAGGAAGTGGAGGAAGTGGAGAAGGGGTAAACACACCGCTCCGATTACCGTTTTTGGTAAGAAATTGCCGAGTGGAATTCTCTTGTACAAATTCCACCGGCGCGTCAATGCCAATTGCCTGTACTCCGCAAATGCAATCATTTTGCTCATGCGATGTCAACACAAATCCGTCGCTTCTGCTGTTGCTGCTGTTGCTGCCACCTCCACCGTCAATCGTCATCGTTGTCGCCTTTGTTGTTGTTGTTGTTGTTGTTGTTGTTGTGGTGGTGGTTTGGGCTTTTGAAGTTCCAAATGTTTTTTCTGTTTCATTTTCCTCAGGGCCAACGTTACAGGAAGAGAAGGTTGGCGTGCCTGTCAAGACATGACAGACACTTCTCACAAAGTGATGACTGGACGCCTGAAGCGTGCTAAGGGTTCGACTGCTGCTCGAGCTGCTACTTACGCTAACATCAAAGTCACTACTACCGGGGTTATATGCGGAATTTGCCGCATTACACATTGGCGAAGCAGGCAGTCGAATATGTAGCCGTGAGGAGGCCTCCGGCAGACGCTGACGTAAACGGCGGTCACTAACGTCATTCTCAGATAATATTTTTTCCTGCCACTGTTCCTGTTGGCATTCCGCCTCCGTTTCCGCCTCTGTCGTTGTCGTTGTCGTTGTCGTTGTCACCGTCATCCCCTCCTCCGTCACCATTTCGTTGCCAAAATTCTTTCTCCACAAAGGAAGCATTCTGTGAAGTTGCGGAGTAACCTTTTGCAGAAAGTAGTCGCGTTCCTCTTCCTTCTCATAACAGGAGTGTGGCTGCGTGCCAACAGTGTTGGGGACAAGGGGAGTCGATGTGCATTGGCGCAGGGAGACATGAGGAAGTGGCAAATCGATCGCCGATAGAGATGCCATCTGCCCCTTCGATGATTGACCCTGTAGTGGTAAAGAAAGTGTCGGCATCGGCGTCACATCCACGCTGGCTCTTTCCGTGTTGGCCGATGTGTCGTTACCTGGCGTCTGTAACGGAGACTGCCCCACCGGGACGGATGTCTGCGTCGCATTCTGCTTCTTGTCCCCAGATGCTCGACAAGAAACAAATTTTATAACCGCCTGCATCTGGCTGTTACTGAGGCTCCCGGAGGAAACACGCGCGCCGTTGCCTGGGGCAGGGGGCTTGGTGGTGAGGGAAATATGTCTAGTGCTGCCAACGACAAAACGACTTGGGCTAACATGCGCACTACTTCCGACGCTGCTGCTGCTGCTGCGCCCACTGCATGTATACTCCGTGACGCCGCTTCTTGCGGGCACAACTATGCCGTTTTGCTGTGATCTGCCGGCATTGGTGTCCACCACCTTCACTACTGCCGCTGTCTTTGTTGTTGTTGTTGTTGTTGCGGTCATGTCTCCGCTTCCTTCCTCTTTGCATGCGGTGAGGCCCTGCGCACCGCTCACGTCCGTCGAGGTATTCGATGCGGGGGCACTCCCGAATGCTTCCAACGGACATGTCTCCTCCTCTTCACAGTTCTCACCCTCTTCCTCCCTATTCTTCTGCTTATTGCAGCAGCGTTGTTGTTGCGGCCGCGGTGGCTGCTGCTGCTGCTGCTGGTTCCCATCCCCGGGTGGCCCAACGCCCTCACCCCCGTCAGCAGGCATCAGACTCATGGCGGCAAGTCACAAATACGCCCAGCGGCCGCAATGGATGAAGTGGTGAAAATATTCTCGTGCGTGCGTGTGTGCAGGAATTCGGCGCCCACGTATCTGCTCCCTCAGACTTCGTTTTCCCCGCCCTGCTCCGCCCTACACATAGACAACCAAACAATCCCCTCCCTCCCCCCCAAAAAAAAAAGAAAAAAAAAGCCCTCTTCCCTCACTCCCTCCCTCCCTCAACACACACACGGTAGATGTATCCGTATGAAGGTGTAATAACGCAACCGCACCTCAGGTGGGTGGAGGGAAGGCCAAAAAATATATATATATTTATATTGCAATTGAAGAATACGCCCCGTTTAAAAACAAAAATAATAAAAAACAAAACAAAACAAACAAACAAACAAACAAAAAACAAACGGAGTTCTCAAATGTGCACTTGAGAGAAGAAGTAATGTTAAAAAGATGATCCCTCCGATTAGACGTACTGATTGGTCTTCTTCTCCTTTTCCTTCTTGTACTCACTGTAAATATGTATGTATTTATGTGTGGATGCATTAGAAGAAGAGAAAAGAAATGATAATGGAAATAACAACTCATCGGCAGCAGTAAGAGAAGCAAGAGCAGCAGCGGCAGCAGGACCTTCAAACAGCCCAAATATATTTATTTGTTTATTTATTTGTTTATTTATTTTTATATATTTTTATATATTTTTATATAGGGGTAAAGACAATGCATGTAAATGGTACCCTAACCCATTAGGGGGGGAATGGGGGAAGCCAAGCGGATAACGATCGCAAATGGTAAGAAGAAAAGTCCTGACGTCTTTCACGTCAAATCCCCCCAACCTCCACCCGCCCAAAAAAAATGAACAAAAAAAAAAAAGAAGAAAACAAACAAACAAACAAAAACACACACACACACAAAAAAAAAAAAAAAAAAAAAAAAGGGATAAGTCGTACAAATACATACACATTTATATATATATATACAAACACACAAGAAAAAAAAGAAAATTACACGCCTTTTTCGTTGTTTGTTTGTTTGTTTGTTTGTGGTCTCGTATGTATTACATTATGTATGTATGTATATGTATGGAGGGTATGAGATGTATGCATGCCTCCTTTCACTGTCTGTGGTACCCCAGACGTGACTTCACATCTTGACGGGGGGGGGGGGGGGGGGGTGAAAAAACCTGTAGG